TCTTGCTTTTTGCAGTTTCTGGTGGCTCCCGATGTACCTTGGCTTCTGGCCACATCACTCCAATCTCTGCCTTTGTGGCCACATTGTCTTCTCTTCTATATAATTTTCCTCTGCCTCACTCTTATAAGGGCATTTGTCATTGGATTTAGGGCCTACTGTGATAATCCAGAATGATCTCAACATTCTCAATTACATCTGCAATGACCCTTTTTTCCAAAAAGGGTCACATTCATAAGCTGTGGGGATTATGCTATAGACACATCTTTTTGGGCCACCATACAACCCACTACAGTATGGTATATCTATCCATATTTTACTTTTAACCTATTTGTATATTTGTGTAAGATGGGTTTCTTGTTGAATGCATATAGTTGGGCCTTTATATTTTAATCCAGTCAGCCCATCTCTGCCTTTTACTTTGGATATTTAGACTTTTTACACTTAATGTGATCACTGATATGGCTGAGTTTAAATCTGTCCTCTTGCTGTTTATTTTCTATTCATCCCATCTGCTTCCCTCATTACCACCCTTTTGTTTTCTGATCTGTTTTGGATTAATTAAATAGGTTCTTTTTTTCTTTTTTAATGATTCCAACTTATCTATCTTGTTGGCTATTACCTATAACTCCTTGTTATGTTACTCTATTGGTTACTGGTTTTTAGTAAATATCTTTAACGTATCAGAATCCACCTGTAAGTGATATTATACCAATTCACATATAGTATAAAGACCTTGTAACATACTACATTTCTGCCTTCCCAATCTTTGTGCTCTTGTCAACATTTTACTTTTAGTATATTATAAACCCACAATAATTTGTTATTATTTTCATCATTTTTGCTTTAAACCATCAGATATCTTTTTAAAAGATTTAAATAATCTAAAAATCTTTAAACTTGCTCACATAGGTGCTATTTTAAGGTGCTCTTCAGTTTTTATGTAGATCCAGATTTCCATCTGGCATCATTTTCCTTGGGCCTGAAGGAATTCCTTTAATATGGTTCATCATGCAGGCCTGTTAGTAAAGAATTTCAGCTTCTATATGTCTGAAAAACATATTTTGCTTATCTATTCTTTGCCTTTCATTTTTTAAAAGTATTTTTACTGGGTATAGAGTTCTAGGTTGCAGGTTTCCTTTCTTTCTTTCTTCTTTTTTTTCTTGTACTTAAAGATGTTGTTTCAACTGTTTTCTGACTTGCAATGTTTCTGACAAAAAGTCTACTCTCTTGTTGTTTTTGTTCCTCTAGGGTGTTTTTCTTCTGAGTGCTTTTAAATTTTTCTATCTCTAGGTTTAAGCAATTTGATTATCTTTTGTTTTACTCTAGTTTTCTTTATGCTTCTTGTTCTTAGTGTTTGATCATCTTTGATCTATGTTCTTGTAGTTTCCCTCAAATTTGAAAAATGTTCAGCTATTATTTCTTCAAATATTTTCTTTCCTTCCCATTCTCTCCTTTGGGGACATTGTGAATCTTACCTCTTTGGTTATTGGATAATTTTGTACTCCTATAAATATTTTTGAGTTTGTTCTGGAATTCATTTACTTTACTTGGGAACTGATCCTTTCTGGTATTGCTTTAAGCTCAGCTTTTCCCCACTACTAAGGTAAAAACCTACTGAGAGCACTATGAATGCCATGTAAATCATGAAGAGTTCCACTCTGACTTGTGAGAACAGGAATTCTCCCCAATCCCAAGTGGACTCCAGGCATTCCTCCCTTTAACGTCTCAGGTGATACCTTTCTTGGCCTCTGATACATTTTTCATTCAGATGTTCTGGTCAGTACTCAGCTAAAAACCTAATGTGGACGCTCTGCAGATCTGTCTGGGCAGCTCACTTCTCTCCTGTACTTTGCACTCTGAATCCTACCTGCTTTGGTTTCATAATTCTCAGTTCTATCTCCTCACCTCAGGAAGACCACCATACTGTGTAGTGTGGCAAGAAACCCTCAGGCACTAGGCTGGGGTGATCACAGGGCTCATCTCATTGACTAATCTCCAATGTATTAAAAACTATTGTTTTTTAAATTTTGTCTTTTTTTTTTTTAAGTTGTTTCAGGTGGGAGGGTATATCCAGTTCCTGTTACTCCATCTTAGCCATAAGCAGAAATCTGTTTTTGTTCCTTCCTTTCTACTTTCTGGTCTTTATTTAGGATTATCATGTGTGAGTTTTTTGTGATTATTTTTATCCCTTTAATCTATTAATTACACATTTTTAAAACATTATTCTGTAGTGGTTAACCTAGAAATTTTAATACTGAACCTTGAGTAATGATAATTAAGTAGACATTATTACTTCTCCAACTTCTTTGAAAGTCCTAGAAACAAAGCACACTGAGTCCATTTCTTCCCTCCTGGCTTCTGTGTTATCGATGCCATGCATTTTAATTCTACATATCTATTTGCTATGTAAGCATTATTAGTTTTCTTTTGTGCAGTTAATATTCTCTTATATTTACCCACAGACCTAAGCTCCTTCCCCGACCCCTTATTCTTTGCTCTTATTTCCTTCCTGAATTTTCATGTTTCATTTTCCTTTAGTCTACAGCACTCCATTTAGCCGTTCTTTGGGTAGAGTTCTACTATTGACATACTCTTTATATTTTTATTTATTTGAAAACATCTTTCTTTTATTTTTGAAAATATTTTTAGTAGTTATAGCATTCTTGGTTGGCAATTATTTTCATTTAACATATTAAAGATGTTATTCCACTTTCTCCTTGTTTTCATCACTTATGTTAAGAAGTTCATCAGTCCTATTACTGCTTGTTTGAAGGTAACTTTTTTCTCTTAATAATATCAAGATTTTCCCTTTCCCTTAATTTCCATCAGTGTTATACTGAGGCTCCAATTAGATGTAAGATATAGTTTTTGATGTTGCCCCACATATATATATGCTCCCAATACTCCTACTAGCACACCACAAAACTGGCCTGGGCATGTGCTGTTTCTGCCAAGATCTTGAAGTTGAATTAGGAACACACCTGCACAATGCTGGGGTCAGGACCATACCATATTTACTGTAATTGTTATCAACAGTAAATACTGCATAACCTGCCCCTTGACATCCATGAAGCTAGATACTAGAGTCTCAGGCTTCTGCTGCACCAATTTCAGTAAAGCCATGTGCTTCCAGGATTGTTCAAACCAGGCAAAATGGTAGAACCAACATAAATGTGGCTTCTGCTTTATGATATTCACTTTTGACATCTGTATTTTTCTGAGCATGCATCTACTGGGTAAAATCTAGGTTGGTATAAGAGCTGCGGTGTCCTAAAGTCTTGGAAGTGTACTTTGGCATGTATTAAGCAAACTTTACAGGAGATACAAATAAGAGAAGTGAGCCAAACTTTTCGTTGTTTGTCCCTAATGTGCCAATTTTGGAAAAATGTTGGGTAGAAATGATATTTTGTCAAGTATGTATATAGTCCATAGAATATACTCAGTTATATAATTAAAAAGAAACTGTTATTATAGTTGGCTATTCAAAACCTATATGAAGTAGAGAGATTTTAGATTTTTATTATCGACAGGTAAGTTTGAGAGATAATGAAGGAAGAAAGAAGGAAAGAGAATTAGAGAGAATGACACATTTATAATTTCATCTTTATTATCTTTTGATATTTCCACTAAATGCATTATTACCCCTTTTCCCCCCTGAATTGAGATATACTTCCTTGGAATGTATTTATGAAATTTGGCTTAGGATTTTTTTTCTAAAACCATTTTTAATAGCAACTTTTTTAGGGATCAGTAAAATGTGGAGTACTAAATTATCCTCAGCAGAATTTCCATAACATGCTTGAGGTAGCTACTATTTTTACAATTATCAGCGTTGAGTGACTCCAAAATCTTCCTAACAGGACAACTCTCTGGAAAAAAACGAGGTTGTGGGGCACCTGGGTGGCTCAGTCAATTAAGTGCCTGCCTGCAGCTCAAGTCAGGATCCCAGAGTCCTGGGATCCAGCCTGAACCGGGCTCCCTGCTCAGTGGGGAGTCTGCTTGTCTCTACCTCTCTGCCCCTCCCCCACAAATGCCAGAGCACACGTGGGCACGCTCTCTCTCTCAAATAAAATATTTTTTAAAAAAATGAGGTTGTATACTTTTTTGACGCTGTTCACAAAGATTTATTTTATATTCATTGATTAAAAATTAAACCAAAGGAGTGTTACAAGATACCATGGCAATATAGAGAGAAAGGAGAGAGAGAGAAACGCGCACGCACGTGGGGGGAGGGGCAGAGGAAGAGAACCTATGAGATGCTGGTATATTCTGTTTCTTACTGTGAAATGTGTTCGACTAGTGAGAATTCATTGTTCTGTGCTGTTATGGCATGTGTACTTTTCTCTGAATATATTTTATTTTAATAAGAAGTTACAAAATAAAAATAATAACAGCTCTCACCTCACTGTATTATTTTATAGTTTAAATTAAAACCCATTAGAATGTAAACTCCATGAGGACAGTAATTTTAATCTTTTTCTTTTCACTGCTATATACCCAGGATTAGAGCATGACCTGGTATATAGTGATCACCCAAAACATTTTTCACACATGAATGATAATATAGCACATGCTGATTTCATCACCCGCCACAGAATACAAATGCTCTAAATATTAGACATTACTATCAATAGTATAGTTTTATCATTGCTTGAGACAAGTAGGTCATTTTTCTCTTAAAGCAGTGTAACATAGACAACTGTGTTTTAACATGAGGTATCCATTATCTCATGTTTCTAAGTTCATCTCTCCATTTGATCAATGGTGGTAAAGAAATCAATGGCCACAGGTGAACTTTACTCCATGGACTTACAATAGGGAGTTGAAGTTGAAAATTTACCTTGATTTTATGCAGCCTGAGTTAATGATTTGTGCTGTTGCTATTGTTGCCCTTATAAGTTATCGTGTTCTTATTGGACTCTGGCATGAAAAGTATTGTCAATTAACAGAGTTGTGTTATTTTAGAATTATTTGAAAATATTTTAAATGAAATATAAGTTTTTTTACAAAGACACTTCGAAAGATGTTGTAAATAATTAACTTTTTCTTCAGGCAAAGTATTGTGTACTTAATGAGTCCCTAGTGCTTTAGAATTGTTAATATCTTTGTTGGGCACACCACTGAAGATGAGGTCAAAAGAGTCGGCTTTTATCATCATATTAATCATCTCAGGAGAACTCTATGCAGAAGGTAAAACTAATTTTTCATATTCCTTATTCTCTAAGAATTATAAAGGGAAATTCTAACATTCATTTAACTTGAACTTGTATAGTCTTTCATTTTTGTGTATCAATTTTATAAAAAGCATACTTCTTATAATTTGTTATAAATACTCAAGCAGATTTTTTTTTCCTTTGGGCATAACTAGTAAACTATTATTATAGTGACAAACTTAGAAAAACAAGAGACAAAAAAGAAAAAAAAGCAGCTTTGTATCTCTAGGTTTTGTGACATAGGAGGTGAGGATCTAAACACTTTAAAGGATTTTCAGTCTAACAGTACCACCATTTAGAAGTCATATGTTAACCTTAATTCTAATTTCATACTAGAATTTATTCCTAACATTGCACAGCTTGTACAATTTTAATTCTCTGTTCATAAAGTGAGAGCTTAGTGTGGGAAATTTAAAAAAGAAATAGCCATGAATCATCAAGATTTTTGAATCTTCACCCTTTGATTTTTATCCTAATTTATTCATTGGTTGAAATTTGTAAGTAGTGATTAGAAGGAGGGCTGTATAATCGGTTATGCAGATAAGGACACTTTTGAGAGTGAAATGGAGCTCTATTAATAGTTATGTGAGACACCAGTGTAAGTTAGGACTGTCCAAACCAACCCATGGATTCCCTGACTCTTAGAAAGCTTTATAGCCAGAGCTCGGTGTGTGAATAAGTGTGAGTGAAGCAGGCAGTATATAAGTGTGGGTTATTTAGGAATAGTTAATAGTGTTATTAGGCTGTAGGGATAAGAAACAAGAAAGGATAATTAGGTGTCAGCAAGAGTGAATATACAAAAGAGGAAACCACAGCAATAAGACTTTTCTAAAATAAACACCTTAGGGAATCTGTTGAAATAAAATATCCTATGGATTATAATTGCCTTGTGGGTAATAGTTTGCTACAAATTTCCTACCAAAAAGGGTCTGCAATTAAGATTATGAAAGTGAAATAAATAGAATTCATCTTATTTGATACATTCAATTCTATAATAAGATAATTTTTGCATGAATAGTTTCCTTTGGTTTTATTTTTCTGTCTAAATAGGGAAAAACCAGCTGATATAATTCTCTGTCATCTATATACCATGAAGACATTGCATTTCCTCAGGATGCCTGGGTGGCTCAGTTGGTTAAGCATCTATCTTCAGCTCAGGTCATGATCTCAGGGTCCTGGGATCAAGTCCTGCATTGGGCTCCTTGCTCAGCGGGAGCAAGCAAGGAGCCCTCTTCCTGTCCCTCCCCCTGCTTGTGCTCTCTCTCTCTGACAAATAAATAATAAAATCTTAAAAAAAAAAAGACATTGCATTTCCCAGATAATTTCCTAATTATTATATGGTTATAATCTTCTTTTACACAAACAAACAAGGTAACAATAATCTCATATTTCCATGCTTTCTCTCATCCCCATTAGGAATATTAGGGGCAAGAATTGAATTAATGGTACTTCTCATTTTGTAGCAGGCAATCATCATTGGCCTATGAAAGGTTCCACTTTTGCTTTATTTATACACTTCCTCCCTTTATCCCTGACCTTGAATTCCGTTTCCCCTAGCATCAAACTGATAATGGAGCCATTATCGTGTGTTTGATATATTCTTAAATACAATATGTAACTATCTTTCTGAATTATGTCTTGTTTTGTGTATGTGCTTTACATTCACATAAATGAAAGCTTGACATCAATTCGACCTCTGTACTGTTTTGTCTTACTTGCTATCATTTAAATACATTTCCATGTTGCTGAATCTATTCTGTTGCTTTTAACTGCTGCATAGTGTTTCAGATATTTTACTTATCCATCTTACTTGTGATGGACACATCATTACCTCTAATTTCCTTCTAACCACAAATAACGTTTAGAATTATGAATGTGTCATATAATCACCTTATTTCTTTGTTATAATTCGTCCTGTATATGTTCACATGTGTGTTAACAATACTGTGTTGTCTATTTGAAAATTGCTAAGAGAGCAGTCCTAAAAAGTGCTCATCACAAGGGAAAAAAAACTGTAACTCTGTGGTGAGAGATGTTAACTAGATTTATTGTGAGATCATTTTGCAATATGTGCAAATATACATGTGGAACCATTGTGCTGTATATCCAAAACTAGTATAATGTTATACATCAATTATACCTCAATAAAAAATTATGTCAGTACATATAATATTTACTTATGTGTGACAGGCTTCTTTCACTAAGTAATATGTTTGTGAGATTCACTATTCAGCATTCACCACTGCTGCATGATATTCAGCATTGTATTGCTGTATAATATTCCATTGAATGCATGTCTAAATTGTGTTTATCTCTTCTTCCATGGAATGGGCATTGGGATTGTTTCCAGTTTGGGACTACATGAATAGTGCTGCTGTGAACATTCTTTTACATGTCTTTGAGTGCACAGATAAATACTTTTATTCCTTCTTTCATTTTGTTGATGTGGTGTGTAACATTGACCAATTTTCGTATGTTGAACCATCCTTGCATTCCAAGGATAAAGCCCACTTACTCATGGATCCTTTTAATATGCTGCTGAATTCTGGTTGCTAGTATTTTGTTGAGAATTTTTGCAGCAGTGTTCATAAGGGATGAGTGCTTTTTAAAAATGGCATGTGTACATTCTGCCTTAATATTGCCAAAGAAAGCTGAGTACTTTTTATGAGGTCTGTGACCATTTACATGTCCTGTTTTGTAAAGCTCTTGCTCGAACAAGATTTTTAAATTTATTAAATAAGATTTTTTTTAACTTATTTTTTTATTTTTAAATTATTTTCTTATTATTTATAATTATTATTTTTTAATTAGTTTTCTGTCTTTTTCTTTAAAAAAAACCATTCATTTCAAAATTTTGTGGGTTTGCCTATTTAAGTAGAACTTCATCTATTCTAGAACCCTGCTGTCCAATATGGTGGCCACATACAGCTATTGAAATGTGGTTAGTCCAAATTGGGATGGGCTGTAAGTATAAATATACTCTGGAGTTCAGACTTAGTAAGAAAAAAATGAAAAACATTTTTAATATTTTAATGGGTTAAATAAAACATATTATTAAAATTAACTTCAACTGTTCCTTTTATTGATGTGACTACTAGAAATTTTAAAATTACATATGCAGCTTGCATTATATGTCTATGAGAAAGTGCTGTGTTACAAAGTTAGGGAAAGCTTCCCTGAGGAAGTAGCCTGACCAGTTTTATTCTGACTGTTGGTTATTGGGGTTGCTAGCAGATTAATTCTGACTGAAAAAGATTGCCACAGAATCCCCTTAAAATTCAGGTAATAAATATAAGTACAAGTTAAGTCACTGCAAACACTTTGAATTTAAATATTTACTGCCATTTGATCACACATTCCATGGTTTTAGATATGTTTTTCAGTTTTCAGCTTGATATTTACTCATTTCAGAGAAACCCTGTGGTCTTCCTAGTGTGGAAAATGGAAGGATTGCCCAATATTACTATTCTTTTAAAAACTATTACTTTCCAATGAGAATAAATGAAAAACTGTTGTTTTCCTGCTTGGCTGGTTATACCACTGAAACTGGGAAACAAGAGGAGCGAATCACATGTACCCGAGAGGGCTGGTCTCCAGAACCACGTTGCTTCAGTGAGTCTGTGGGCTGTGTCCACAAAATGTTTATAATATTTAAAGAGATCAGTCCATAAAGGTCCAAGAAAACCTGGTGGGTGGTGAAACCTTTTGGTCGATAAGAACAAATTACTGGCCCACTGTCTCTTTTACAAAATGAAGACGTATTTTGGAATTCTGTAAATAATATTTCTTATTAAAATGTTATTGTCTTTGTTTTTAACAGTACCCTGTAAAGAGAATACAGATAATTATTGAAAATGGTATTATCATATTGCAAGAAACAGATGCAAATGAGTTACTTTAAGGAATGAGGAACTTATACAGATAATAATGCATAGGAAGCCAGAAAAATGCTTGACACTGGACTTAGGAAGAATAAAATTGTTACTCCAGTGTTTTATCCTTTGAGAGACTCATCTCTCCTTTGTGTGCCAACTTCTCCCACAAATTCAGAAAAATGTGTTTTCTGAATTTTGAGTTCAAATTTAGAAAAAGGAAATCTGATTGGTTCATCTCATTATTTCATGCCAGGCTACCCTATGGTCAAACTATTAATGGGCTTCCATTAGATCAGCTGACCTCTCTTGAATAAAAGATTCTCTAAGCTCTGTTTTGCAGAGTAGAGGCTTTAGTTGGGTTTGTTTCATTAAGAAGAGGAAATGAGTATGATGGTTACCATGCTTGATATATCTAGTGAACATATCCATTTAGGATAATTATCCTTTCCATGACTTGAGAACAGACCATAAATTTAAGCATTGCACTTTTAGTATCAACATAGACCACAGATTAACTCAAAGAAAGAAAGAAATGTTCATAACTAGAGCTTAAAAATAAATTAAACATTAGCAAGAGCTTTGAAATAGGCACCAGAAGAGAACTCATGGTTAGCATGTAGTCTAATGGTTAAGATATAACCTCTGCTGTTCACCTGCCTGCATTTGAATTCTGATCCACTATTGGAAAGTGAGCATTGTGAGCCTAAGTTTCTCATCTATAAAATGGGCATAAACCTTGCTCACTAAGATAATCCATATAAAGTGCTTGCCACACAGCAAGTACTACATATATTTAAACTAATATTAACCTTGGACAAGTCTCTTAACCTTTCTGAATTGGTTTGTTATGAGGGTCTAATAGTAGGGCTTAAAAAAATTACTGAGCTCATTCAGTGCTGAGGTACATTTATTATCTAACACAACATTGTTGCAAGTATTTGCTAAAAAATAACTCTGCAAACTCAAAGGTTTTGAGTAACATGTCTATGATTCAGTCATGGTCTACACAGCCTGACTATGGACTGGCCACACGGACTTATTGTGTGGCCAGGTGATCATTTGCTGAGTTAAAAGAAAAAAGAATGAACAAAGTTTTCACATTAAGGTATCTGCAGACTTATTTAAGGACCCATAGGCTGGGTATGTGCTTTTGTTACATGGTGTTAAAAATTGTCAGACACAGTAGATTTAAAAATATTAGGAAGTAAATCCAAATGAAATTCCTTCTATTTGCCATTAATGACAATTAGTTAGTGAAAGAGCTCTGTTATATTTTCTAAAAGTAGATGTGTTAGGGTGGGAGTCACTACAAGAACTGAAGTTAATAACAAAGAATGTCATTGTCAGGTTGAATCAGTTTTGAAGAAATTTGATGCAGAACATGCAGGATAATTCCAAAATTAAATCAAATCAAGGAATTGAGTGAGATTTTTCTCTCTCCTTTAAATTCCAAGAAAAATATTAAACTTTTGCCTTGGTTTTACAACTAAGTAAAAGACAAGCTTAATTTCACCAAATTAAGCAAAGATTTTTTTTCTCATAGAAAAATGCACTAAGCCTGAGCTGAGAAATGGTTACATCTCTGATGCAACATTAATGTACAAAATTCAAGAGAACATGCGTTATGGTTGTAATTCAGGATATAAAACCACTGGAGGAAAGGACGAAGAAGTGGTTCAGTGTCGTGCTGATGGATGGTCTTCGCAACCTACCTGTAAGAAGGAACATGGTATGTGTTTAAGAATCACTTCCTAAAACTGAAGATAAGAGACTGTGAGGCTAGTACTTTCTTATATTGATAGGCATTTTCATTTAATAGAATTAATTTTTCAGTGTGTCTGCAAATGCAAGAAGTTGATATTATATTGTTTTTCTTAAGTGTTCGGTGTTTTCTTAACCCAAGAGTTATCAACTCCCACAACTCACCTACTCCATTAGTTCCTATTTAATTTTTTAAATATTAATAGATTTATTTTTAGAGCAGTTTTGGATTTGCAGAAATATTGAGCAGCTAATACAGAGAGTTCCCATGTATCCCTTCTTGCCCTTGGCCACATACACTTTCCCCTATTATTGCATTTTCATTTAGTGTAGTATATTTGTTGCAACTGATGAGCCAATACTGATACATTAACTGAAGTTCATACTTTAGGGTTCATTCTTTGTCTTATAGATGCTGTGGATTTTGTCCAATGTATAATGACATGTATCCACCATTAAGATATCATATAGAATAGTTTCAATGCCCTAAGAATCCCTTGTGTTCAACCTATTCATCCATTTTTCCCTTCCACCAACCGTTGGCAAACTTTGATCTTTTTTTTTAATTGCGGTAAAATATACATAACATGAAATTTTAACTATTTTTAAGTGTACAATTCAGTAGCATTAAGTACATTCACAATGTTGTATAACCATCACTACTATTTCCAAAACTTTTTCATCAACCCAAACAGGAACTCTGTACCCATTAAACAACAAATCCCTCTATCCCCCACCCTACCCCAGTACCTGGCAACTTCTATTTTCTGTCTCTATCAGTTTCCTTATTTTAGGTACTTTGTATAAGAGGAGTCATGCAATATTATCCTTTTGTGTCTGACTTATTTCACTTAGTATAATGTATTCAAGGTTCATCTGTGTTGTAGCATGCATCAGAATTTAATTTCTTTTTATGGCTAAATAATATTCTACTGTGTATATATGCAAATATATATATACATATATAGATATATCATATATACACATTTTGTTTATCCATTTATCCATTGAGGGACACTTGGGTGGGTGGCAGTTCTTCTAAAAATTAAACATAGAATTACCATAGGATCTAGTGAATAAATGAAATCCTAAAAAAAAAAAAAAAAAAAAAAAGAATGAAATGGAATGGAATGGAATGGAATAGGATGAAAAAAACCTTAAACCTGTTTCTTGCAAATATATAACTTACTGTTTCCTTTATTAGAGAAGAATTTGAGATAATGCCCATTATCTTTATTGGTAAACCAGTATCAGATATACTTAAAATAATCCAGTAATTTGAATATGTATACTTTGTTAGTGTGTTTTTAGTTGTTTAAATTGTACAAATCCTCAGATGGCACAGAATCAAAAAAGCTGTACAAGGCTTCAGTTGAATTGTGGCCTTCTGCCAAGTATACTAGACTAGAATTTCAAGAATAGAAGACTGGTGGCATTAAGACACAAGGTGTATAAAAAAAGGAAATAGAGACTCAAAGGCAAACTGGCTATTTTTCAATTTGGCCAAAGGTGGATTCAGCCAAATATGCTGTGAAAATACATTTTGAGATTTCTTTTTAATATCATAGTTTTAGTGATAAATTTCATAAAATAAATAACGTTGATTTTTTTTTTAGAAACATGTTTGGTCCCTGAATTATACCATGGAAATTATTCCACAACGCAGAAAACATTCAAAGTGAAGGACAAAGTACAATATGAATGTGCTGCTGGCTACTATACAGTTGGAGGCAAGAAGACCGAGGAGGTAGAATGTCACACATATGGATGGTCTCTCACACCAAAATGTACCAGTAGGTTCTCATTTTAAAGACAATCTAGTCTCATTTGAAAAACTTTCTCTCGTCCAGAAGTGTATATATATTGTCACACTCATGTTTCATTTTTCATACTTTTTGGGGGGCTTTTTTTGCTTCTGGTTTTAATTATTTTGATCATAGGCTTCGATCATTTAAAGCTCTCAAATAGAAAAAGAATTTCTCTTAGCTCAGATAATTAAATTAAAATAAACCTAATGATATTTAATAAATATAGGAATTGACAAGTTTTGTTATATATAACAACATATGGCAAATTTACTAATTTCTATTCCAGATATGGTATATAAGTAGTAGGTGAATTCTATTCAACAGAAAAAATAACACTCTTTTGTATTTTATTTGTTCTTTCATTTTAGAATTAAAGTGCTCTTTAAGATTAATAGAAAATGGTTATTTTCATCCTATAAAGCAAACATATGAAGAAGGAGATGTAGTTCAGTTTTTCTGTCATAAAAATTATCATCTAAGTGGATCTGACTTAATTCAGTGCTATAACTTTGGTTGGTACCCAGAATCTCCTGTATGTGAAGGTAATTTTTAAAATTTCACACTCGTACAAATAAAATACCATGTCTTAATCAGCTTTAATTTCTATAAAAAAATGTTTCTGATGATATCTTTTTTTTTTACTTTATTGAGAGAGACAGAGAGAGAGCATGAGAGAGAGGAGGGTCAGAGAGAGAAGCAGACCCCCTGCTGAGCAGGGAGCCCGATGCGGGACTCGATCCAGGGACTCCAGGATCATGACCTGAGCCGAAGGCAGTTGCTTAACCAACTGAGCCACCCAGGCGCCCCTGTTTCTGATGATATCTAATTCTTGTCCTGAGTGCTTTTTTTTTTTAAGTTGCAGAGGCAGAATTTAGTGATTTATCAGTTGCACACAACACCCAGTGCTCATTACTTCAAGTACTTTCCTTAAAATGCCCATCCCCCAGTTACCCCATCCCCCCACCCACCTTCCTTCCAGCAACCCTCAGTTTGTTTCCTAGAATTCAGTGTCTCCTATGGTTTGCCTCCCTCTCCGTTTTCATCTTATTTTATTTTTCCTTCCCTTCCCCTATGTTCATCTGTTTTGTTTCTGAAATTCCACATATGAGTGAAATCATATAGTGTTTGTCTTTCTCTGACTGAGGTACAATTACTCAGCCATCAAAAAGAAGGAAATCTTGGGGCGCCTGGGTGGCTCAGTTGGTTAAGCGACTGTCTTCGGCTCAGGTCATGATCCTGGAATCCCTGGATCGAGTCCCGCATCGGGCTCCCTGCTCGGCGGGGAGTCTGCTTCTCCCTCTGACTCTCCTCCCTCTCATGCTCTATCTCATTCTCTCTCAAATAAATGAATAAAATCTTAAAAAAAAAAAAAAAAAGAAGGAAATCTTGCCATTTGCAACGACGTGGATGGAACTAGAGGATATTATGCGGAGTGCTATTTTTAAAAATACGTATGGTCTTTTAAATCATTGTTAGATATTTTCAGCAATATTTAATCTGGAAGAAATCTTAAATTTTACATTAGTTTGTAGAGTGGATATAACTTTTAAACTCTCTTATTATAATGAATAAATTTTATTTATTGGGAATTACTAGACCCAATTATCCCAAGCTGGCAGCTTTGTGAGGGTTCTTTCCTATTTGGCTACATATTTCCTGATGTGAAAAAACAGTCTTCAAAATGGTGGGGGTAAAGAACAGAAAAATCAGCAGAATATTACCCAGAGTAAAAATGAAAACTATGGTCCTCGAGTAAGAGCTCTCCTAAAATGTAATGTCTATGGTAAGTTTCTACCACTGGACATGTCCAAGCAAATAGTATGATCACCTACTGGGAAACAACAATTCAAGCATCATTTAAACATACCCTACAATGAGATATGAAGGAAGTCCAAGCCTAGCAGAGGGAACAAATTTGAAAAAGTAATTGACACAATGTGACAAATATAATAAAGTCAGGTATAAAGTATTTGAACAAACACTGAAGATTTTGATTGGTATGGTGTGGGATAGCATTTTTGGAGGTGATGGATAACATTTGAACTGAAAGATAAGTAGGAGTTTGAGGATTGGGGGGATGGGGAGAGGTAAAGGTCTTGATAGTCTCTATTTTCTCTGTAGTATAGAAATTAATGTCATTATTGATAGATAAGAGGAAGACAGGAAAGTAGAACTTGGAAGAGGGGGTGAAAATTTGAAGCAAATGCTAGGAGGGGAGGGAGATGACCAGGGGTATGAGATGAGATTGCCCAGAATGATCCTAATTCTTTAAATGCACCAAATGATAACTTCAACGTTTTTATTTTTGTTTTGAATTTTCCGGTCCTGCCCAAGAGCTTGGTCTAACAGTAGAGAAGAAGATTGTTAGCAAATTGTCTATAGCATGTTATTTCAGAAATAAATGGTAAACCTACTTAATAGCTACTCCACCCCCCCATCCAAATTAGCATGCCAATGTGCCTGTTATTTTCTCTAGTAAATAGTCATTAGATGTAGGGTAGGCAGTGCAGTTGGCTGAATAATAATAAATTACATCCTAATCCCCAGAACCAGTGAATGTTACCTTACTTATATGGCTAGAGGGACTTTGCACATGTGATAAAGTTAAAGATCTTGAGGTTGGAATAATTTCTGGGATTATCCATGTGGACCCTAAATATAATCACAAGACTTTTTATAAGAGGGAGGCAGAGGGAAATTTGACTACAGAAGTGGAATAGAGATGTGACAATGGAATGGAAGCAAGAGGATGGAGCAATAGGAGGAAAGGTCATGTGCCTAGGAATGCATGCAGCCTCCAGAAGCTTGAAAAGGTGAAGAAGCTGATTCATAAAACTTGAAGAAGGAATGCAGCTCTTCTGACAACTTGATTTTAGCCCAGTGAAACTGATTCTGGACTTTCGGCTTCCAGAACTGTAAGAGAATAAATGTGTGCTATTTTAAGCCACTTAATTATAATAATTTGTCACAACAGCAATAGAAAATTAAGACAGTCTGTGTTTTAGAATACTGAAGGACAGATTTTATTTAATTCATATAGACATAGGTACAAGAACAGATCCACCATAATTTACTTACTTCAGAAGTTTCAGTTTATTTATCTATGAGAGAAATAATTATCCCTGCTTAATAAAGTTATTTTAGGATTAGAGGAGATAATGAATGCTGTTTTAATTTTCTTGCTTTTTTAGTTTTCTATTGGTGCATAACAATGCCATTACAAATTTAGCAGCTTAAAACAGCACACTTGTATTATTTCATAATTTCTGTAGGAGTCTGAGCCTAACTTATCTGGCTCCTCTGCCCTCCTGTTGAACAAAGCTGCAATAAAATGTCAGCTGGGGCTTCAGTCTCATCTGAGGCTTGACTAGGGAAGAATCTGCTTTCAAACTCATGGTTATTGGTAGCACTGAGTACTTGGCAGACAGCTGAACTGAGAGCCTCAATTTCTTCTTGGCTGCCAGCTGGAGGCAGCCCTCTGCCCCTTGCCTCCCCATTTGGGAGCTTACAATGTGGGGGCTTGCTTTTTATCAAAATCAGCAGGAAAAGGGTCTCTCAGCAAGAATGGCCTTACTATACTCTGTTGCATATCATGCATATATAATCACATACTCCCATCTTCTTTGCTGCATTCATTGGTTAGAAGCAAGTCACAACTCCTGCTTATGAGGAGGGTTATCACACAAGGAGGTGAACATCAAAAACATCAAAAGTGGAGATCAAGGGGTGACCCTAGGGTCTGTCTTCCATACTTCCTATGGTACTTGGCTCTACAAATGTGCTTATTAAATCTACATATTATTTTTTGTAATTATATGACTAAATACGGTGATTTTTTTTAATAAGGAAGAAGAAATCGATGTCCTCCTCCGCCTCTGCCTCTAAACTCCAAAATTCAAACATATTCAACAACTTATCGTGATGGAGAAACAGTTCATGTAGAATGTGAACTTAATTTTGAGATACAAGGATCAGAAGAAATACGTTGTAAAAATGGAAAATGGACAGAACCTCCAAAATGCATTGGTTAGCAACACCTTAATCAGCTTTCCCTAAGATGAAGTCTGCGTGTGTAGCTAAATGGTCTCTTCTCTTTAATTTGTCTCTTTTCAGAAGAAAAGGAGAAGACAGCCTGTGGGGACCCACCCTTCATTGAGAATGGTACAGCAAACCTGGACTCTACGATTTATTACAATGGGGACAAAGTGGCATATGAATGTAAAAGTGGGTATCATCTTCGTGGATCAACAGAAATAACTTGTAAACGTGGAAAGTGGACACATCCTCCTGAGTGTGTTGGTATGTATGCTACACTTACCAGCAATAGCTAAGCCTGTTGTGTAAAAATTTTTCATTTTCCTTATTTAATCCGTGTTATTTCTTAGAAAACACACTGATTCAGCACCTACTCTGCTACTTTTTGTGTGTGTATGCAGCCTTCTGTAGAATTTAACCCAATATAAAGAATTGGGAAACTAAAAAAAATTTTTTGAATATACATTAGTGCTAACTAAGCACTCTTATCTGATCTGTTTGACACCATGACTTCTGAGCTTTAGATGAAAGCACATAAGTAACAGTGGAATGGGTGACTGGCCATGATCATGATCTACTTTCTCTCCCTTCATGTCCTACAAAGTCATGTTAGAGCACTCTGTTCCTGCCTTTGGGTCAATCCTTCTGATATTACTTATGCATCTGGCCAGTTTGAGCCCTATACTATACATTCTGAGACCTGTCCCTGGTCTTTGGTTTCACTAACGCACAACCAGGCTATGGTCGCACCCACTCCTGGGTGCTACCTTTCCTGTCACCCTTCTTATTTCTTGATCTCTACTAGAACGATCTCCACAAACATGTTTACTTAAGATATTTATTGCATAAGAGAAAAGCTATTAAGGATGCTAAAGAAATGAGCAGAGTAAGAGAAAAACTAAAGAGAGAAAAAGTAGACAATTTCATCCATGGGTTGACTGAGATCTGGGATAAAAAGAATGAGAATTAAAAAATAAAAGTGGATAATGACAAAAAATAGTTTTAGAATTGACCATAATCTTCAGGTTATTGTTTACCTTTCTATACATTTTAAGAATATCTGTATCATGATTCCTTCATAAGAAAAGTGACAGATAATGTGTTTTTAGGCAAAACATTTACTGTTTATTCTTAGTAAATTTTTAGAATATTTGGTCTGAATAACATTTTTCTCATTTCTGGAGAATTTAGAAATCAACTGTCCTAAACTATGTAATACAAATAATGAGGTACAGTAGTATGAGTAACTATATGATATCCTTAGGTTGTTATAAATTCATATTAATTTTAAAATAACTTCTTTTCTTAGAAAATAATGAGAATTGTAAGCCTCCACCTGATATAATAAATGGGGCTGTTGTTGACGGATTACGGGCAAGCTACACAACAGGGTCCTCAGTGGAATATAGATGCAATGAATATTACTTACTGAGTGGAGCAAAAGTATCTCATTGTGAACAAGGAAGATGGTCATCCCCACCTATTTGCTTAGGTAAGACAGAGAATGCATTGTATTTTTTTTTTAATTTTCCCAGCTCTATTGAGATACAATTGACATAATATGAATTTAAGGTGTACAATGCCATGAGTTGATACATATATATATGTTTTGAAATGATTACCACAATAAGGTTAATTAACATTCCCTTCACTTCACATAGTCATAGTTGTACTACTGTTGTTCTTGTCATTATGATGAGTGCATTTAAGATCTACTCTCTTGGCAACGTTCAAGTATTCAAAACAATATTGTTAACTATAGTCACCATTATGTACGTTAGATCCCTAGAACTTATTCCTTTCATAACAACCCATTGAATTTCTCATACCATTACATTTTTATTTTTATGTTATTTTTTATGTAACATTTTATAGCATGGAAATGATGATTTTTGTATAAATCTTTTTTTCCAAAGTGTTTTTCCTTCTCATTTTTGTAAGCAGAATATCTAATATCAGAGGGTCTAAAACTACATTAGTTCTTACCTACTACTTTTTTAAAATTGTGGTAAAATTTGAACAACAGAACTTTACCATGTTAGCCATTTTTAAGTGTGCATTTCAATGGCCTTAAGTAGATTCACATTTTTGTGACTGATTACTTTTTTCCTAACTGATATCCTCAGCATCTCTCCCTATATTGTCCCCAGAATGTCATTTGGAGAGAATAATCAATCCAATTCTTTCCTTAGTAGAGCATATTGTTAATAGCTTTCTTGGCTGTCAATTCCTCACTTGAATGGTCACCTTTGTTCTATTTTGTTGAGCAAATAAAAACATGTTTATGATTATTTTAAATGTATTTTGAATTAAGACATGGTGTAACTAACATTAATGATTCAAGTGGAGAATTAGGAGAGCTATCTAAATAATTATCTCGTTTGAGATAACTTTCAGAACATAATATTCACCTTTCATTTCAAGCTTACAGATTTGCCTCATTTTTTAATTTTGCTAGTCAGAATTACATTTAAAAGTAATGTAATTGGTCACTACAGTTGCAATGAACTTGTTACGTTGTGACTTTTACAAATAGGTAATGGTATCATAAACTTTCTCTAAGTTAAAATAAAATAGTCACTTAATTATAAATATTAGCATTTCAAACTATAAATGCAAATCATTGTTATTTACCAAAAAAATTAATAAATATGTAGAAGCAACTAGAAGAAAACAGAAAATATCAGTAACTTGGGCTGAAACAAATGCTATTAATGACTTAGATAATGGTTTTTTAAACCTTTTTATACACACACACACACACAACACATATTTACAAAAAATATATGCTGTCATGAGAGGCTATTTAACTTGTTTTTTTCCCACAAACTATATTATGAACATGGTTGGATATACTTCTACAATATACATTTTAATGGCTGCCTAGTATTCCATAATGCAGATATGCCATAATTAAATTAGTCACTTTTTGATGGAAGTTTAGTGCGTTTTCAACATTGCCAAATTGTCCTTCAGAAAGTTAATCTGATTTACAACTCTACCATCAGTGGATTAAAGAGTAGTTGTCTTAATACTTGTCAACTTGAATATTTTAATCTTCATATATTGTTAACCCAACATTAAAATTATTTTAATTTGGTTTATTTAAGTGCTAATCAATTGAGTTTATTTTCATTTGATTTAAGTATTAATATATTAACTTTTAAATATATTAATATCTTTCATTTGGTTTATTTAAGTATACTCAATTGAGCATTTTTCAATTTTCTAGTGGCCAGAGGATGTTTTATTCAATGACTTTGATTTTTCATACTTGTAATAAAAGTTTTATTTACATAAATTATATTATTCATTTGACAATGATGCAAGATACAATGATGTATATTGCAACCATTTTTATTTTCCTGTTATTTTATTTATTTATATTGTTTATGTATATATCTATATGTTTAAATTTTAAGTCTTAAGCTCTTTCAACATCTCCTTTGTGGCTTCTCTATTCCAAGTCATTCTTAGCTGCTGATCTCGTTCAAATTCAGATATGTCTACCTATAGCTTTTCTATTGCTCTCATATTTTCATAAAGGTTTTTGATATTAAGTTTTTGATGATGTGACTGATAATGCATTGAATGGAAATACAGTCATCTCTGAGGATAAAGACTAGAAAGGTTTAAGGAAATCTATCATTCTGTTTCTGGAAAAATTGCCTCTAGACACATAGACTTGGTGCTAATAAATCAAAGCAAATACTGAATGGGGGAAGATTATTTATTGTCATTAGGGCAAGAGGGCAGAGCTTGGTACATCTTATTTATCCTTAGGAACTGCAAGTATTCTCACTACAAATGGGAAAAAATGGTGTGATAAGGAGCAGAATTTTCCATCTGTGATTTATTGTTCCAGACATTATGAACCTTTTTAATCCCCCCCAGTACTGATCTTCCCATCTCATTCTCTCCACCCACTCTGGTCTCCTTGCTCTTCCTCACATAAGCTAAGTATGCTCTCACCTCAGGGATGTTTCCTCTTCCTGGAACACCCTTCCCTCAGAAAATGCCATGGTTCACTCACCTGTGCAAATACTATTTCTTACTTAGGCCTATCACAACCACTTAACTTAAAAGTGTAACTTCTCTTACCTCATCCCTTTTGATAGCCCCTCCTCTCCCTCCACTACTCAGTTCCCATCTTATTTACTGCATGTGGTTTAGAGATGGCCACAGATTATACACCCGTATTTATTATAGTTATTGCTTGTCCATGCGTGTTTCTCCCATTTAGAAGGTATGTTCCATGAGGGTGGGGATCTTTGCTTTGTTCTTTGATGTACCTCAAGTGGTAGGTGTCTCACAAATATTGTACAATAAATACATTTTCTATTTCATGATTTTTATTTTATTTTTTTAAGGTTTATTTATTTATTTTAGAGAGAGAGAGAAAGAAAGAGTATGCGCATGAGTGGGGGAAGGGACAGAGGGAGAGAATCTTCAAGCAGACTCTGCGCTGGGCATGGAGCCCCACCTGGGGCTTGATCTCAAGACCCATGAGATCATGACCTGAGCCAAAACCAAAAGTCAGACACTTAACCAACTGAGCCACAGGCGCCCCTCATGATTTTTATTTTATAGGGAGAAGATCATGCTTAACCTAAGTGATTGTAATATACATATATATGTATACATATATGTATATATATATATTTTTACTGAAGTATAGTTGGCACACAATGTTACATTATTTTGGGGACTACATCATATTGATTCGACAAATCTAAATGTTATGCTATGAGCACCGCCAATGTAGATACCATCAGTCACCATACAATGCAATTACAATACCATTGACTAAATTCCCTCTGCTGTACCTTTTATCCTCATGATTTATTCATCCCATAATCAGAAGCCCATATCTCCCACACCCCTTCACCCATTTTGCCCATTCCTATACCCCCCTTCCTTCTGGCAGCCATCAATTTGTTTTTTTATATATGACTTAATTTCTGGGGGGGTTGTTTATGCGTTTGTTTTATGTTTTAGATTCCACGTAAAAGTAAATCATATGGTATCTGTCTTTCTGTGAATTATTTCACTTAGGATAATACCCTCTAGATACATCTAGTTGTTGTAGATGTCAAGATTTGTTGTTGCAAATGGCAAGATTTCATTCTTTTTAATGGCTGAGTAATATTCCATTACATGGGCACTTGTGTTGCTTCCATATCTTAGCTATTGTAAATAATGCTGCAATAAACATAGGTGTGCATACAGCTTTTTGAATTAGTGTTTTAATTTTCTTTGGGTAAATACCCAGAAGTGGAATTATTGGATCATATAGTATTTCTATTTTTAATTTTTTGAGGGGCCTCCATAATGTTCACCACAGTGGCTGCACCAATTTATATTCCCACCAACACAGCACGAGGGTTTTCCCCCCTCCACATCCTCACCAACATTTGTTACTTCTCTTTTTGATTCTACCCATTCTGATATCTCATTGTGGTTTTGATTTGCATTTCCCTGGTGATGAGTGATGTTGAACATCTTTTCATGCGTCTGTTGGCCATTTATATGTTTTCTTTGGAAAAACGTCTATTCAGGTCCTCTGCCCATTTTGTAATTGGATTATTTGTGTTTTGTGTGTGTTGAGTTGTATAACTTCTTCATATATTTTGGATATTAACCCATTATCAGAAATATCCTTTGCAAATACCTCCTCCCATTCAGTGAGTTGACTTTTTGTTTTGTTGATGGTTTCCTTTGCTGTGCAAAAGCTTTTTATTTTGATGTAGTTCCAATAATTTACATTTGCTTTTGTTTCCCTTGTCTCAGGAGACATATCTAGAACAATGTTGCTAAGGCCAAAGCCAAGAAGGTTACTGCCTATGTTTTCTTCTAGGAATTTTATGGTTTCAGGTCTCACATTTAGGTCTTTTGTCCATTTTGAGTTAATTTTGGGGTATGGGGTAAGATCAGGCTCTTATTATATTATCCTAAAAAGTTTTATTCTTTTGCATGTTGCTGTCCAGTTTTCCCAACATCATTGATTGAAGACTGTCTTTTTCCCATTGTAATATTCTTGCCTCCTTTGTCATAGATTAACTGACCATATGAGCATGGATATATTTCTGGGCTCTCTATTCTGTTCCATAAATCTATGTGTCCATTTTTATGCTAATATCATACTGTTTTGATCACTTCAACTTTGTCATATATCTTGAAATCAGAAATTGTGATACCTCCAGTTTTGTTCTTCTTCCTAAAGATTGCTTTTGTTATCTGGAATCTTTTGTGGTTCCATATAAATTTTAGGATTATTTGTTCTAGTTCTGTGGAAAATGCTATTGGTATTTTAATAGGAATTGCATGGATCTGTAGATTGCTTTGGTTAGTATGGACATTTTAACAATATTAATTCTCCCAATCCATGAGCATGGAATGTCTTTCCACTTCTTTGTGTCAGTTTCAATTTCTTTTATCAATATGTTTTATAGTTTTCAGAGTACAGATCTTAACCTCCTTGGTTAAGTTTATCCCTAGGTATTTTATTCTTTTTGGTGTATTTATAAATAGAATTATTTTCTTAATTTCTCTTTTTACTACTCTGTTAGTAGTGCATAGAAATGCAATTGATTTCTGTGCATTAATTTTGTATCCTACAATTTTACTGAATTCATTTTTTACTTTTAATAGTTTTTTTATGGAGTCTTTAGGGTTTTTTGTGTATAGTATCATGTCATCTGCAAATAGTGACAGTTTAACTTTTTTCCTTATCAATTTGGATGTCTTTTTTTTTTTCTAATTGCTGTGGCTAGAATTTTCAGTGCTATGTTGAATAAAAGTGGCAAGAATGGATATCTTTGTCTTTTTCCTGATCTTAGAGGAAAAGCTCTCCAATTTTAACCACTGAGTATGATGTTAGCTGTGAGTTTATCATATATGGCCTTTATTATGTTGAGGTGTGTTCCCTCTAAACCACTTTATTGAGTGTTTTTTAAATGAGTAGATGTTGACATTTCTCAAATGCTTTTTCTGCATATACTAGATGATTATACAGTTTTATCCTTTGTTTTTTTGATGTGGTGTATCACATTGAATGATTTATGACTATTGAAACATCCTTGCATCTCTAGAATAAATTTCACTTGATCATGGTGATTTTTTAATGTGTTATTGAATACAGTTTGCTAATAATTTGTTGAGAATGTTTGCATCTGTGTTCATCGGGGATATTGGCCTGTAGTTATCTTTGTTTGTAGTGTCTGTCTGGTTCTGGTATCATGGTGATCCTGGCCTTGTAGAATGTACTTGGAAGCTTTCCTTCTTCCTTTATGTTTTGGAATAATTTGAGGAAAATAAGTATTAACTCCTCTTTAAATGTTTGGTAGAATTCACCTATGAAGCCATCTGGTCCTGGACTTTTGTTTGTTGGGGTTTTTTTATTACCAATTCAATATTGTTACTAGTAATTGGTCTGTTCAGATTTTCTATTTCTTCCTGATTTAGTTTTGGAAGATTATAGGTTTCTAGGAATTTACCTATTTCTTCTAGGTTGTCCAATTTGCTGGCATATGAATTTTTGTAGTATTCTCTTATAATCCTTTGTATTTCTGTGGTGTCAGTTTTTACTTCTCTTTTATTTCTAATTTTATTTATTTTTGTCCTCGCTTTTTCTCTTGATGAATCTGGCTAAAGGTTTATCAATTTTATCTTTTCAGAGAGCTCCTGGTTTCACTGATCCTTTCTATTTTTTTTTTTTTTTTTTTTAGTCTCTACATCATTTATTTCTTTCTGCTCTGATCTTTATTACTTCCTTCCTTCTACTAATCTTGGGCTTTTTTTTTTTTTGGTTCCTTTAGGTATAAGGTTAGACTGTTTTTTGGGGGTGCATATATATTTACAATTATTATATGCTCTTGTTAGAATGATTTCTTAATCATAATGATTACATAATGCTTCTTTATCTCTTGTTACTGTGTTTATTTTAAAGTCTTTTTTGTCCAATGTAAGTATTGTTACACTGGCTTTTTTTTTTTTTTTTGCTTCTATTTGCATGGTATATCCTTTTGTATCTCTTCACATTTAAGTCTAAAGTGTGTCTCTTCTAGCTTAGATAATTTTTTTTTAAGATTTTCTTTATTTATTTGACACAGAGAGACACAGCAAGGGAGGGAACACAAGCAGGGGGAGTGAGAGTGGGAGAAGCAGGCTTCCCACTGAGCAGAGAGCCCAATGCGGGGATCGATCCCAGGACCCCGAGATCATGACCTGAGCCGAAGGCAGACCCTTAACAACTGAGTCACACAGGCATCCCTTAAATAATAGTTTTTAATGTTCAAATTAAGTGGTTTTAATTTATAATATAATAATAATAAGAAGAAATGTATAAATTCATTTGATAGCAATAAAGTATACTTTATTATGTATATGTGTGAGGAGTTTTAATAATGTAAATGTTAAATATAAAACATTGCTTTTGATACCTGCCAAAATTTTTCTTTTAAAAATACATTAAACTTCATATTTGTCAAATGAATAAATAATTTAAAAGAACATTTTGTTTTACAGAGCCATGTACTATTAATGTGGATTACATGTACAGAAATAATATAGAGATGAAGTGGAAGTATGAAGGAAAGGTCTTACATGGAGATTTAATAGATTTTGTATGTAAACAAGGATATGACTTATCTCCATCAACCTCGTTGTCTGAATTATCTGTACAATGCAATAGAGGAGAAGTGAAATATCCCTTATGTATTAGAAAAGGTAAAACAGTGCTTTTTGACAATTTCTCAAGTGATCAATATCACCACTTGGGTTCAAAGTATAAGACAGACTCTACCCAACTCACCACCATCATCTTCTAATCTATAAATTGGGAATCATCTGATCAATTTCCAGTAAGCACATACACCTAAATAGGATGACTATGCTGACATCTTTTAATTCCAATAAGTCAGTTTTATAAAGGGAGAAATTAATAGATCTTATAGATATCACCAGACTATCAGAGGACTGATCTCCCTAATGTGAACAATCAATAACTCTGGAAAACATTGCTTTTCTTGGGGTTTGCTGGAGACTATTGTTTCAGAAAAGGGCTTGATCAGATTGAAAGATTTTGTGTGCTGCTTAGATATGGAACTATTACTTTTAATAAGAAAAAAATGGAAGAGAATACATGCAGAAAGCATGGCTTCAAGTGGGTTTCATACATTTTCACATCTAGATAAAAAGGGAAAAATAAAATAATGTTTATTAATACTTTGCCAGTTTTAACTGTTTTTCAATATTATAATATGAGATTCTAATTGCAATAATCAATTTTATAGTATGAAGTTATTGTAGAACTATGCTCTCAATAGTTAAAATTTGACAGCTATCTTAAAAATGCTTTTACATGAAATATCTCATTTTATTTCTTTTTGTTTATTTATTTATTTTTTTAGAGAGAGAGAGCTTGGGGTGGGGGTGGGGGTGGGGCAGAGGGAGAGAAATCCTCAAGCCGACTCCGCGCTGAGCACAAAGCCTGAGGTGGGGCTCAATCCCATGCCCCTGAGATCATGACTTGAGCAGAAATCAAGAGTCGGTTGTTAACCACCTGAGCCACCCAGGAGTCCCTATCTTATTTTATATCTATAGCAATTATTAAAGTATTGGATGTTTATTATAGAAATTCATTGTATGCTTTTAAAATCATTTTTTCAGAATCTAAAAGAATGTGTGTATCTCCTCCACTTATTACAAATGGAGTCATAATTAGTTCAACATCAGACATCTATGAAAATGGTTCCTCGGTAGAATACAAATGTTTTGATCACCACTTCCTTCAAGGATCTAAGGAGTCCTATTGTTTAGAGGGAGTGTGGACTACGCCACCATTGTGTTTAGGTATGTACTACAAAATAGCCACCTATTTAATAAAATAAAACCATAGCTTTTCCCACTTTCTCTTCTCTGTTAGTTAATATAATACTATTATAATGCTTAATTTGCTATCTTTGTGTATCAGTGTGCCTATTTCATCACTGGTTTCTATTCTCTCCTGTAGATCATAAATAACTATAGTCCATCTTGCCCTAACAAATACTTACTAAATACAAACCATACACTAAGTACTGGTGTTTTATGGGGCTATAAGATGAATAAGTCATGGTGGTATGGGTACATATGTTAACAGTTATCATTTAGTACCATGTGACTGGTACTATAATGGAAAACATGAGTGCAATGGGGAAACAAAGATAGAAAGGTGAAGCAAGTTATGCCTTATTAGTGAAAATTATCAGGAGACATAAAAAAGTGTATCTTTAAATAAAAAGTAAATTCTTTTTGTTTCCATATCTGACTTATTTACTATCTTATTTCACCAGCTTGGACTTAAGTACAATACTGAGTAGAAGAGGTAGTGGGTATCTTGTTTCCCAATCTCATAAGTAAAACTTTGAACAATTCGTCTTTAATTACAGTGTTATAAATACTTCAAAATCAAATTAAAAATATAGAAAGTTTAATTTCTATTTTTCTAAGAGTTTTTTAAAAAATCTTCAGTGAGTGTTTAATTTTAGCACTATCTATTAAAATAATCATATTATTACTTTTTCCCCCTGGAATTATATTGCTTCTTCCTGAATGTTAAAGCATGATTACATTCCTGTAATAAATCACACTTGGTTGTGATGAATTATGCTTTTTACATGTTACTGGATTTTATTTGCTTATATTTACTTAGAAGTTTCACATCTATTTTTATGAGAGAGATCAGTCTGTTATTTTCCTTTGGGTTTGGTATGAAGTTTCTGCTTTTCTCATATGGTGAATTGGTAAGTTCCCTCTTTTTCAATTCCCTGGAATTTGTGTAAGATTGGTACATTTCTTCCTTAATAATTGTAGGAATCCACCGAACATGCCATTTGAACATCAAGTTCTCTCTAAAGAAAGATCCTGACAGCTGTCAGTTTTGGTAGGGTGGTTTATAGAAATTTGTCAATAATATCTAAATTGTCAAATTTGTTGACATAATGTTGTTTACAACATCCTTTTACATTCTTTTTAATGCCTTTAGTGATATGTCATTTGTTTTTACTGCTATTAAGCTGTATCTCTTTCTTTCTTGACATGTCTTGCTAAGGGTCTATTACTATTTATTTTTTTTGAAGTTTGGGGTTTTTTTTTTAAAAAGATTATTTATTTTAGAGAGGGGGAGGATCAGAAGCAGAGGGAGAGGGAGAAAGAAAGCAGACTCCCCACTGAGCCTGGAGCTCAACCTAGGGCTCCAATTCAGGACCCAGAGATCATTCATGATCTGAGCCAAAACCAAGAATTGGTCAGTAAACCAAATGAGCCATCCAGGCCCTGGGTCTATAACTTTTATTAGGCATTTCAAACAACTAGTATTTACATTTGTTACCCTTTCATCAAATGTTGCTTACTATTTTAATAATTTAAATTCTTATTATTTTCTCTCTTCTAATTTCTTAAATTTATTTTATTACTCTTAGCTTTTTAGGTGGATACTTATATTACTGATTTTCAGCCTTTCTTTTTTAAAGGATTTTTAAAGAAAATTTAATTTAATTTGTTAATGATACAGTAAGGATATAATTATATCTTTAAATTTCCTACTGAGCACAACTTTAACTTTATCCCACACATTTTTGTATTTTGGAATTTTATTATTATTCAGCCATCCAGTTAAAAAATACATGATACCCATTTTGATATCTTGTATGCACTCTGAGTTATGTAGAAGTTTGTTTTTTAGTTTCTAAGCATTGGAAGATTTTCTAGTTTCCTTTTGTTATTGATTTCTAATTTGAATCCATTGAGACACACTTTGAATTATATAAATCTTTTGAAAATCATTGATACTTTATTACAAGCATATATTTATTGTAGGTACACATTCTTTTGTACTTGAAATAAACAAATAATTGTCATTGTTGGATTCACTGTTGCTGCATATATGTCAGTTGAATTTTGTTTTTCATATTAAGTTCATTCATATCTGTGCTGATTTGTGTCTGTTTGTTTTTCTATCAGTCACCAAAAGAAGTATGTTAAAGTCCCTTATACTCTGTGCATTTAAAAACATTTCTCGTATTCTCTCAATTTTTGCTTTTGTTTTTTTATACTATTCTACTAGGTACATACAAATTGAAGCATATTAAATCTTGGTGTACTGGCCCTGTGTAATTTTAAAAGAGTCTTCCTTTATCTATACTAATACTTTGTTTTTGTTTGTTTTTGCCTGAAGTCTACTTTAGATGTACAAGCTTTCAACAAGTATTTACAAGGCGTACATTTTTTTCATTCTTTAACTTTCAACATTTTGGTTTCTTACTTTTAATGTGTGTATATTGTAAGCAATATATAGTTGTTTATTTTAAAGCATACTTATTTAGTCTGACAAATTTTTATATTATTTGTCCATATACATGTTATATAAGTACTGATATATTTGGTTTATAGCTACCATCTTACTGTACTAGATATATATCCTATCTGTTCTTTATTCTTCTCTCTCTCTCTTTTCTTTCTTCGGGGTAAATCAATTCTTTTTAAACCATTTCACTCTCTACTAGGTTGTTGATTATACTTTCCTCTTGGATTCCTTTCAAATTGTTATCGCATAAATTACATAATTCAACAATAACTTACTACAGTTGAATATAAATTAGGACTTTTACCACCTCTCCAAGACCCAGAACACTTTAGCTTGATTTGCCCTTCCCACTTTTTGTATTACTGTGTCATGATTTTCATTCTACATATAGTTTTAGTCCCAAAGATACAATGAATATTATGTTTTCCAAAAATATTCTTGAAGACTTGTTGATATGTTTTTCAGTGATTTGTTTCTCATCTTCTTCTGTTGCTATTTCTGACTGGGATCATTTTGCACATGCCTGAAAAATATTATTTCTTTATTATTTTCTCAGTTTTTGTTTGCTTGCAAATTTCTTTATTTTCCTTCACTTTTGAAGAGAAATTTTACCAGAGATAGAATTCCCTCTTTTTCTTACCATGCTTTAGAAGATGTCATTTTTATCCTTTTCTGCATTTTATGGCTTTTTTAAAAAAGATTTTTATTTATTTATTTGACACAGAGAGAGACAGCGAGAGAGGGAACACAATCAGGGAGTGGGAGAGGAAGAAGCAGGATTCCTGCTGAACAGGGAGCCTGATGTGGGGCTTGATCCCAGGACCCTGGGATCATGACCTGAGCTGAAGGCAGACGCTTAACCAACTGAGCCACCCAGGAGCCCCTGCATTTTATAGTTTTTGTTAGTCAATGCCATTCTTTATTTTTTTTTAAGATTTTATTTATTTATTTATTCATGTTTCAGAGAAGAGAGAGAGAGAATACAAGCAGGGGGAGCAGCAGGCTCCCCGCTGAGAAAGGAGCCCGATGCAGGACTCGATCCCAGGACCCTGGGATCATGACCTGACCTGAAGACAGACACTTAAGCAACTGAGCCACCCATGTGTCCCAGTCAATGCCATTCTTAATGCTAATCTTTGAAACTAAGTTTCTTTTTGTACTCTGCTGGTTTTGAGATTCTTTTCCCCTTTATTTTCAGTAGGTTATTTATGCAGGGCCTTGGTATGTGTTTCTCCGAGCATTTCATTCTTTTCTTTTTTTTAAAGATTTTATTTATTTATTTTTGCGAGAGAGCGTGTGCACAAGAATGGGGGAGGGGCAGAGGGAGAAGCAGACTCCCCACTGAGCGGGGAGCCTGATGCACAACTGGATTCTAGGACCCTGGGATCATGACCTGAGCCAAAGGCAGATGCTTAACTGACTGAGCTACCCAGGCGCCCCTGAGCATTTCATACTTCAAGTTGGTAGCACTTCTTGAATCTGTGGCTTGATGTTTTTCATAGTTCTGGAAGGTGCCTTTAATCTTCTTTGTTCCCATTTGGTAATTTTCTACTGATATATCTTCCAATTCATTAATCCTTTCTTTAGATGTGTCCAATCTGCTTTAAACTCATCGACTGAGCTCTCAATATCCTTGTATTTCTAGAATATCGTTTTATGCCTTTTTTGTTTTATAGATTTCAATTGTCTGATGAAAAACTTTATCTTAACATCTATTTCTTCACCATGTTAATCACACTTATCTTTAAGTCCTTGCCTGCAAAATCCATTATCTGGATCATCTGTAGGCCTACTTCAATTTCTAGCCTAATTTTTTGCTATTTCTGTAAACAGTTGATTAAATATCAAATATTATGTATGGAAAATTTTAGAGACTTGAAACGATGATGTCATCTTGTTCCAGAGAATACGCATCTCTTCTTTTGGCTGATAGTGTAGGGGAAATTGGCTTCAATCTAATTAGAAATGCAGCTTTTTCTAAGCTTATTTTCAGACCTTTGTTTGCTCCTACTAATAGAACATAACCCTGCAGGATTCTTCACTAAGAGTTTGGTGTTTATACCAAGGTTCCTCCTTCTTGACTGCCTTTCATATTACTGGGAGACTGCCAAAAAAGCTTAATGTAGCTTTTCATTCACTTTCTGCTTGGCTCTTTATCCTCTCTCTTTGCACAAGCCAAGAATAGGCAAATGCTTCAAGGGAGCAAACAGCCAGTGCAGAGTATCACATTCATTCTCTGTATCTCCCATTCCTCTGGGTTCTTGACCACTCAAGTCCTGGCTGTCATGTCTGACCTAAACTTCTGTTTTTCTATCCTCAACAACATGAGATTTCCAAAAGCTCTGCTAGCTCTATGTTTGCTGTTGACCATTCTCTACAGTCTCTCAGCTCATGCTGAGAATCAACAAATGCCCAAAGAGGAAATGCCACACAGAATGTTGGACTCATCTGAATGAGCTTTTACCAGAACCTTGGCATCTTGAGTACTGAGTGCCTTCAAAATGCTCTAATTCCTTGAAATACATGCTTCATGTCAGTTTTCAAATTTTCTAGTTTTTAGTAGAAAAAACTGGTCTGATATAGACTATTCTGTCACTATTCTGATTAGCTGGTCTGATAGAGACTATTCTGTCATAGCTGACAACAGAAGGTCCATGAATTAATTTTTAACTTGTTTTAATTAAAATTTTATGTTTTGTAGAACTGTAACATTTTAAATTATAGTGCTATTTGACCTCATTTTCAAAGATATTTTGCAGTGACTATAAAGATTCTCTTAGAGTCTTTCTGATTATTTTTCTTCATTTTTATTCTGTCTATAGAACTTCTCGCATAACATCTGACACTTAGGAAATCGATAAATACTTACTGAAAATATTGAATAAAGAAGTTTGTTAATGTATTACAGTTATATGATTTATATGCTCTATTAGCAACTCTGGACCTTTAACCTGTCTCAGGACCTACTGTTTGGTGCCATGTCATCCAGGAGGCAAATAAGGACACAAACAACTCATTTTCTGAAATAACTTGACATTTTGAAAATAGCGATATTTTTATTATGAAAAAAATCAAAGGAATTTGTTGAGTATCCTAATAATTATCTTAAGTTTTTATTTTGTTTTGTTTTAATGCATTAGTGAAAGGACACAATAATATTTTCAATGCTTAGAATTCAAAACATCTTAATCTAATATTGATATTCCATAATAACTGGAAATTTCAAAGAGAGGAAACTGTCAACCACTCTGGATGCCATCAGGTCATAGAGTTTGAGTCATTGTTGACAATCCAGCTTCTTTCTACATTTCCATAATATTTTATCTATCTAATAAACAAATACTTTGTCTCATGGGGATTTTGCTTAAGCTTTCTGAAGAAAAAATAAGAAAAAGAACATTATTTCAATAATTATTGGTAACTATCAATGTTTTTTATAAAAACACCTTTTTTTGAAGGAATGAGATCTTGCCATTTGCAACGACGTGGATGGAACTGGAGGGTGTTACGCTAAGTGAAATAAGTCAATCAGAGAAAGACATGTATCATATGACCTCACTGATATGAGGAATTCTTAATCTCAGGAAACAAACTGAGGGTTGCTGGAGTAGGGGGTGGGGTGGGAGGGTTGGGGTGGCTGGGTGATAGACACTGGGGAGAGTATGTGCTATGGTGAGCACTGTGAATTGTGTAAGACTGATGAATCACAGACCTGTACCTCTGAAACAAATAATACATTATATGTTTAAAAAAAAAAAAAAAGAAGAAGAAGAAGATAGCAGGAGGAGAAGAATGAAGGGGGGGAAATCAGAGGGGGAGATGAACCATGAGAGACGATGGACTCTGAGAAACAAACTGAGGGTTCTAGAGGGAAGGGGGGTGGGAGAATGGGTTAGCCTGGTGATGGGTATTAAAGAGGGCACATTCTGCATGGAGCACTGGGTGTTATGCACAAACAATGAATCATGGAACACTACATCAAAAACTAATGATGTAATGTATGGTGATTGACATAACAATAAAAAAATTTAAAAACCCACCTTTTTTGTTTACTATCTTTGAAAACCATAATGGCATAAAGCTAAGTGACTGGCAGGACATACATCTTTTCCAAATCCAGGACCACACAGACAAATGGCAGATTGTTTTCTGTGAACGTTGAACATATTCTCTGACTCAAATATTAATTCTAACTTAGTTGCCACTCTAATGCCTGGGAATTTTAAGGTCATCATGAATAGGAACCACAGTGCATCCTGTTAGTGCCAAGATGTGTCAAGATAATTTTCTTCTTTTTATTTTTTCAGAGCCTTGCACATTATCTTCTGTTGAAATGGAAAATAATAATTTACTCCTGAAATGGGATTTTGATGATAGACCACATATTTTCCATGGCGAGTATATTGAGTTTCTTTGTAAGAGAAATACGTATATAGCTGAATTCTCTATTATTGGATCTGAACTCAGAGTGCAGTGTGACAGAGGGCACTTAAAATATCCAAGATGCATTCACAGAGAAAGGTAAGAAGAAGCTTGTGCCTACAACTAATTATTTTCTTCAGATTGTTATTCAAGAGATTCTTTATGTTATAAATTTCAGAAATTTAAGTTCTACAAAACTCCTACTTCATGGTAGGAGTTTTATATAGGAAAAAATAATTATATAGGAAAAAATAATTTCATTTTTTAGGCCTAGAAGTATTAATTAATTCAACAAACTTTCTGAGTTGTCTGAAGTCAGAGTATTGTTTGCTATTTCATATTTGTGACACTTTGGCAATTTGGAAAATAAACTGATTTATATGTATAGTATTTAAATGTGGAAAAATTAACCTATATTTTGAGAGAGATGTTTGCATTTTCTCCCACTTCCCAGTATAGGTCCAAGTATCAGTTATAAAGATGGGAAACAAAGTTGTACAAATCTTTCTAGTGATAGAAGAGCATATTAATAACAATGATTAAAATTAAGTTATTTTCAGGAACACATGTCTGTGTAAGAGCTTGGAAACACGAAAGTGTTTCCTCAGAAGATAATTTAAAATTACATATTTTATACTTTTTTATTTGTTTTTTTTCCTCATTCTTTTTTGGTTTTTATTTGAGTATAGTTTACGTACAATGTTACATTAGTTTCAGGTATACAACATAGTGATTCAACAACTCTATTGTTATGGTATGCTCACCACAAGTGTAGCCATCATCTGTCACCATACAATGCTATTATAATACCATTCACTATATTCCCTATGCTGTACCTTTTATTCCCATGACTTACTTATTCCATAACTGGAAGCCTGCCTCTCTCACTTGGTCCCCTTTTCCAATTTTGTCCATCCCTCTATCCCCCTCCTCTCTAGCAACCATCAATTTGTTCTCCATGTTTATAGATCTATGTCCACTTTTTGTTTCTTTGTTTTTTTAGATTCCACATATAAGTGAAATCATATGGTATTTGTCTTTCTCTGTCTGACTTATATAAAGACCCCAAAAAGCCAAAGCAATCTTGAGAAAGAAGAATAAAAATGGAGGTATTGCAATTGTAGATTTCAAAATATACCAGAAAACTATAGTAATCAAAATAGTATGGTACTGGAATAAAAATAGACACATAGATAAATGGAACAGAATAAAGAGCTCAGAAATAAACCCATACTTTTATATGGTCAATTAATCTATGATGAAGGGGGCAGGGATATACAATGGGGAATAAATGGTATGAGGAAACCTGGACAACTACATGCAAAAGAATAAAACTGGACCACTCTCTTACATGACACACACACACACAACTTCAAAATGGGTAAAAGGTCTAAATGTGAGACCTGAAACCATAAAACTCCTAGAAGAAAACAGGTAGTAATCTCCTTGTCTTTGGCCTTAGTAACATTTTTCTAGTTATGTCTCCTGAGGAAAAAAAACAAAAGCAAATATAAACTATTGAGATTACATCAAAATGCAAAGCTTCTGCATAGCAAAGGAAACCATCAACAAAACAAAAAGATAACCCACTGAATGGGAGAAGATATTTGCAAAGGATATATCTGATAATGGTTAATATCCAAAACATATGAAGAATTTTATTTTTTAAATATTTATTTATTTATTTGAGAGAGTGAGCTCAGTGGGAAGGGGTGGAGGGAGAAGGAGAGAATTCCAAGCAGACTCCTCACTGAACATGGAGCCTGATGTGGGGCCTGATCCCAGGACCCTGAGATCACGACCTAAGCCAAACCAAGAGTTGGACCCTCAACTGACTGTGCCACCTAGGTGCCCCAATATATGAAGAATTTTAATCCCCCCAAATGGGTGCCTGGGTGACTAAGTCAGTTAAGTGTCTGACTCCTGATTTTGGCTTAGTCAGGCCATGATCTCAGGGTCATAAGATTGAGCCCCATGTCAGGCTCCATGCTCAGTGTGGAGTCTACTTAAGATTCTTTCCCTCTCCCTCTGCCCCTCCCTCCCTGCTCATGCTCTCTCTCTCAAAATAAATAAATAAATACCCAAATAATCCAATTAAAAAGGGGCAGAGGACATTTTTCCAAAGAAGATATACAAATGGCCAACAGACACATGAACAGACAAAAAGACACTCGACATCACTAATCATCAGGGAAATGCAAATCAGAACCATGAGATATCACCTTCCACTTGTCAGAATGGCTAGAATCAAAAAGACAAGAAATAACAAGTGTTGGCAAGGATGTGAAGAAAAAGAAACCCTCATGCCCTGTTGGTGTGAATGTAAATTGGTACACCCACTATGGAAAACAGTATGGAAGTTCCTCAAAAAATTAAAAATGAAATACTATACTAACCAGTAATTCTACCTCTGGGTATTTTCCCAATGAAAACAAAGACAGTAATTCAAAAAGATATATGCACCTTTTTGTTTATTGAAGCATTATTTATAATATCCAAGATATGAAAGCAGCCCAGGTGCTACTGATAGATGAATGGATAAAAAAGATGCAGAATATTATATATACAATGGAATATTACTCATCCATAAAAAGGATGAGATCTTGCCATTTGTGACAACATAGGTGGACCTAGAGGGTATTATGCTAAGTGAAATAAGTCAGACAAAGAAAAACAATAACCCTATTTTATATTTCTTGGTGAATGAAATATAATCCTGTTTTTAGTAAAATATTACAATAATACAATAAAATGATGTAAATCATTTTATAGAATCAGGATTTTGACACTTTTAAAGATACAGTATAAAATTGAAATTATACTTTATATTTGATTAAGAATATTATAAAAATATGGGTGCCTGGGTGGCTCAGTCAGAGTTAAGAGTCTGCCTTTGGCTCTAGTCATGATCCCAGGGTCCTGAGATCAAGCCCCACATCGGTCTCCCTGCTCAGCGAGGAGTGTGTTTCTCCCTCTGTCCCTCCCCCTGCTCATGCTTCTGCTTGCTCTCTCTCTCTAAAATACATAAATAAAATCTTTTTTAGAAAAGAATATTATAGGGCACCTGGGTGGCTCAGTTGGTTAAGCGACTGCCTTCGGCTCAGGTCATGATCCTGGAATCCCTGGATCGAGTCCCGCATCAGGCTCCCTGCTCGGCAGGGAGTCTGCTTTGTCCTCTGACCCTATCCCCTCTCATGTGTTCTCTCTCTCATTCTCTCTGTCTCAAATAAATAAATAAAATCTTTAAAAAAAAAAAAGAAAGAAAAGAATATTATAAAAATAACTTAATGGCAAAGTGTATGTGTTCTCATCATTGTGAACAATGAACTATATGAACAACATAAGGATAACTTTTTAGATACTTTGAACAGTCTATAAAAACATTCATAAGAGACACATGGGTTGAAAACTTTAAAAATTTTTAACTATGGTAAAATCAGGACAGAAAAATTTTATATGTGTTTAAGTGTCTTAGTGTATCTTGTATTTCTCATTTCAAAGAGAAAACGAGGTAAATAACTTAGAAAAATTGTTTAAAAAATGGCATTATTCTATCAAATGACACTGAGATTTGAAAAAGAAATTTGTAGTATAATTCACCAAGTCTGTCTACTTGCTTTTATCAATAACTAGCTAAAATAATGACTAATTATATGAAGTGTTAAAGGGCTAAGTTATAATAAATACTTGACCAAAAATGGTGCTTATTTCAAAAATCTCTCTTCCTTCCTCTCTCTTTCTCATCAAGGATGCTGTCTTATCAACAACCCTTCATGACATAAAAATGTATGGCAGAAAAAAGAATAGTATATCAACACATCATAAAATCCTTTATAAAACATAATTTTTAGAAGAAAAATTACAAGTCTCTAAGTTTTAACTTGCTTGAAGATTTGAATCTAAATTGTCTATGTTGAACATTTTTTTATTTATAAATAAGCCAGAACATGTTGTTTCTGTTCTAATTTGACTGATCTGACATGTAACCTAACCTTTATTGCATGCTTTCCCTCTGTTAAAAAGATTCATCTACATGTCAAAGTATTTCTGTTTCCTAATATCCATTCATTGTGTTATATTATTGCCTTCAAGATATTTGTTTTTATCATATTCATTAACATTAGGGTTTTCTGGTACTTTTAATTCAATCTTTCTGTCAATATTAAAGAACCAAACACTAGAGATAAGAAACTATACATCATGTTAGAGGATTTACCTTACTAAATAGAGAAAAGACTGCCCTTTACACTTTCTAAATGTAAAGAGCTTCAAAAATTAACTGTAGTATTAGCTTCAAGGTTAATCAAATTATGAGGTGGTGAACTATCCACATGTTAAAATGTTGCCCAAGGAACGTGGCTAAAAAAAGAACAACATTTTCCATTTTTATATTTTACACTTTCAAGTAATATTTTGAAGTAACAGTTACACTTCCATTTAAAGTAACAGTTATAGTTCCATTTGTTATTAGTGTTCATTCATAAGCATGTGTAGTAGCACTACCAGGTTACTAAAACCCCCTAGTAGGACTGGTTGTTGTTACTAGAATAGCACATTTTCTTATCTGGAAGCCATTCAGTTCACCTAACTCAAGATCTTCTCAATATGATAACATTCTTTTTTTTTTTTAAAGATTTATTTATTTATTATTTATTTGACAGAGAGAGACACAGCGAGAGAGGGAACACAAGCAGGGGGAGTAGGAGAGGGAGAAGCAGGCTTCCCACAGAGCAGGGAGCCCGACGTGGGGCTCGATCCCAGGACCCCAGGATCACGACCTGAGCCGAAGGCAGACGCTTAATGACTGAGCCACCCACGTGCCTTGATGACATTCTTTAAACCCTCAAGTTTCAATTTGCTAATGAAGGACAACTGGACCTAACTCTGTGGATTAAATATGAATTCATTCAATGTTCAACATGTATATTTCAGAACTGTCCCTGAGTTCATAATTATTCTTTTAATATTCTATAGTCATTGTCCACAGTAGATCCTATAAAATTGAAATTTGATTGAAATTAAATATCAATAGAAAAGTGTTAATCATTTTCAATTAATCAATTAATCCATTAATAAACAATATTGAGTGCCTGCTATAT